CAGGCATTAAAAAAAATCTACTGCTAGTAACGACTATTATTACGAATTCACCAGTATCGAATATGTGGTGCTTTGGGGTAATACCGAAAGCAGGGGAATTTTAAAAATGGTGGTAATTCGTAATTTTTGGAATCGGACATTGTTTTTTTTCAAAATTTGAGAAAAGAAACTTAATAGATTAAAATCCTTTAAATTAGATAGAACAAACATATCGCGAGTTTTATGTCATTTTTGGCATTTCCCCGCATTCGTGATTACGCTAAAGAACCTTACTTGATATATTTCCTAAGTTTTAAAGTATAATATTGTAAACTCGGACACGCCTGTATAGAATAGATATCATCGATAACAACATGCACTATTGCAAATTTCTAAGTCAATATATGACTAAATCATAATAGGATATTACTAAAAACCATAGGACACATTAAACAGACCGCATATCGGGTTATACTAAAAGCAAATTTGTCCACTTTATTTTAAACCTTATTACATAGATGGTAGGATTTAAAATAAACTGAATTTGACAAAAATATGGTTACCCGAGTGTCGCTGTATATTATCAAGTAACTCAGAACTTTGATCAAACCTTATTAAGAACGAGCACTTCAAAATTACATTTAAATATCAATCTCGTGCAGTTGAAGATTGGTTATTATTTCATTCAATTTTAACACTAAGCCAATTAGGGTTACATTTATGTAACTCAAAATGTGCTTCAACATTTTTCCCTTTAATTCTGAATTGACATTACTGTTTATGTAGTAGCGAGTTATACCTCAAACATTTCTTTTTGTAAATAGTTACTTGTAGTCATACGATATGTTCCACTGATAAAATTCACAGGGTTACATTACGAAGTGAGATTTTAAAGATATGATTTTTATTTCTCTATTATGACGTATAATTACTTTACCATTTTGAATGGTGTCTCAAATTATTTGCAATCATGATTTATGCCAAATTATTGTTTTTCGTTGGAGTCGATATTTTGTTTTTTTTTATTTTTATTAAAATAATGTTTTGATTATTCAAAGTGATGATAAATTACTTGATGTAGAAAAGGGTAATTTTTACGACATAGGTACCTGAATACAAATTTGAGACACCTATATTATTATGTGTTAAAATGTAATTATTAATTATTGTAAACCAAAATAGGAAATATTCACAAAACGCATAGCGCAATAGATTTAAATAAGATTGAAATTGTTTCTTAAACCGATTACGATGTATATTATTAGATATAACTGAAAATCTTGTTGGTAAAGAGTATGGGTTTTATATTTTAGCGATTGTCAGATATAATCACATACTGTATACATGATATCCATCTCACATAGAGCAGTCAAACAACTACTGACAATTCAGTATTTACTGAACCTTAAACATAAGTGAATACATCTTTAAATAATGAAAATTACTATTACAATATGTAATCTTCAAACAATAATTAACTTTATTTTACCAGCAATATTATTTTACCCATCTCTGGCTTAGTGTAAAACTTAAAGCCCTACTCGAGAAAATGTCAACAAGTTTGCGACACTGTCGGTATAGAAGGCAAAAATTATCTCTGTCGTTTGGGATATGAAATTTATTGTAAAGGATCAAAAACAATAATGCCCTTATTGGCAGGTCGGTGTGTGTGTAACAAATTGTAACGATATTGTGGTCTCGAACTGGTTGTTCAAAGTTCAAAATGCGATTTGTAATATAGCAATATTAAATCGATTTCAGAAATGTGTAGTTTTATTTTTTGTTATTGTTGCCTTGTGTGGGAAGAAAAATTGATACTTAAGTTCAGCGGCGTGAAATTATAGAACTATATACGAATAATTTCACTTTTTATTCGTATTTTGACTTCCCCCGTAGCACGAACACCGCATATCACGTGATAAATGATGAAGAACGAATGGCTGTCTCGTTGTTGAAATGTGAGCGAGATGGTGACACTATCGATGGTGTGTATCGAGCAAGTGTCATTAAGAACGCTTATGCTAAATCTCGTCGAATTCGGCAAGATTTTGTATAAAACGGTAACTTATTATCCTCTTAGTACTCGCAGTCAACAAAACTCATCATCATCATCATCACCAGCCCTTTTCCGTCCCCACTGCAGGGGCTCAGGCCTTCCTTATGGATGGTTAAGGAGGATGGGCCATGATCCTCCACGCTGGCCCAATGCAGATTGGAGGGTATTAACGACTGCAAATGCAGCCAGGACCAACGGCTTAACGTGCCTTCCGAAGCACGGAGTAGCTCGAGATAATAATTTTTTGGTCACCCATCCCGTGACCGACCCTTGCGAAAGTTACTTAATGACTACGATCGCGGGCCGAGGCGCTTATCCACTACGCCACCGAGTTACTCCACAACAAAACTCAGAATACTGATATACCAAAAGACTGATTTTAAGCTTTTATGTGTGTCATATCTAATTAAATAAAAATAAAAAATTCATTTTAGAAAGTTATAAGATGTGGTCTTGTGTTTCTGTCTGTACCTTCAGTATGTGAAGGAAAGTCCAAAAAAGATTTAGGAATTCATTTTCTGTCATGTGAATAATATTATCAAACATTTTAAAACAAGTTTCTAATGGTATTTTACTTTATCAAGATTATACAATCGTCTAATTGCGTTACAAGATAAAATTATAAAATATAATTGATCAAATTTGCATTCATAAGGCTTTACTGAACAATATTCTCAAAAATCAATATTATGAAATATGTTGAAAATGGTAAGTTTTATGTAAAAAAAAATAATTTTGTAAATAAATTAATTTCTATATGTGAAATGAAATGAATGAAAGTTTATGTAACCGACAGTAAGTCAGGTTCAAAAATCAACTGGAGAAATTTGACATATTTTGTTAATCTGACCCGCAGCCGTAAATTTTTTATGTTCTGTTGGTTACGAGAACCGAAACTCGGGTGGCCATGACAGCATATTGTAACGTAAAATTTCAATAAATTAAACTTCGTCATTATTGAAAATGCAACACGCCTTCGCGTTTATTGAAATGTGACGTCACGGCTTGAAAGATCATCGGAGTGTTTTCACATGAAAAAAATAATGAATAAAATATACTTTACCTTTATTTAATAACGCTTTTTGGACAGCAATAAATCTAATAAGAGTTTAATATGATCTTATGAAGTTTTTAAATACTTTTCCAAAAACAGTTAAGTAACCTATTTGCTGTACCTCCAGTTTAAAATAAAAGAACGCATTAAATATGTATGACTTTATTATAAAAATACATCATAAGGTATAATATTGAGCTTAATAATTGAAAGTCCTGTAGTAATGATAGAACACACAACGTTAACAGTTTTCTGAGATCAACAAGTTACAATATTTAGAGCGGAGAAAATTTATTCAGGTTTCTTTACCTCATAACCTCATTCACCATTATTTTAACCACCAATATATTTCTAAAACTTTTGTAAATGCTTTATTATTAAGATCCATGAAAAATTGGTCAACGCCAAGTTAGTACAATGAATTTATGAATGAACTTAAATCTATGGCACAGTATTGTTAAATAGTACATTGTAGACATTTTAAAGTATGTTACAAGGAGCATAAGTAAAAAATAGGTGTATAAATCGTAACATACATCTACTATATAATAATGAGTCACGCGTAGAGCGTCAACTTAGATGTTAAATAAGTTCTATTCACCCATAAGTTTTCTATAAAACCAAAAGAATCTCCATTGAACACAAACATATTAAATATTAGTTTAACTTTATTTATCGTAAAATCTTTTGACTAGGGATTTAGTTTTGTTCAATTAATATCTTAAGCTCAACTTAATTGTGTAGAAATTGTTTCTGTGGAATAGTTACCAAAGTAAAAGATAATCTTGTGTGTAATTTAAATAACAAATCTCTTTAAAGAATAGAGCTTAACAAAGATAAAACTCTATTTGGCTAGGTTGAATTGTAGTTACTAATGATCGAAATTAGGCAAAAGAAAATATGAAATTCTGTACTCCTTCATATAAACTGTTATGATATTGGAACGCATCCTAATCTGTCATATAGTCTTTGGTGAATGTAGCCAGAAGAGAGATACTCTTTGACTTTTCGCTGAATGGCGCACTTACGGTTTTCCAACAAGTATTAATAAAGTGGACTTATATTAGTAGAAACTGATTGTTTTTATTATAACATGGTGGCAGCGAATCAAAAATGACTACAGAAAAACCAGTACTGGGGCAACAAAATAATAAGTGTTTGCACTCCGCCTTGTCTAGTGAAGCCGCCTACATATTTTATCTTTAAGCCTGAGAATCGGGCAAAATGGAGAAAGCGGTTTATGCGCTATCTTACTGTGAGCGATTATTATACAAAAGGAGAAAAAACAGATTTATTGTTGTATTTGATAGGCGAATTAGGGGAGGAACTTTCGTTGCAAATGAGTCATAAAAGCGTCAACACTTCTTTGGAGGATGTACTTAAACAGATAGCTGATCATTTTCAACCAAAGACTACATGACAGATTAGGATGCGTTCCAATATCACAACATAAACTTTAACTGTGCCATAGTCGATACACATCTACGTTTTTGGGGTGAATAGAAAATCAAGTTTTATAAATTATATTAAAACAGAGTAAAGACCTATCTACAAGTTTAAAGCACTAAGGTACAGTCACAGACTGAAATATAGGTACATACAACAACAATCATAGATATATCCACAAAAATATTATTGACAATATATCTCTTTTAATGGAAACACATTTTGTCAAACCGCACGATCAAATCACCCCGATGCCTAAAACGTACCCATTGATTAATTTGTCAATTAAAAATACTGTTCAATAATCTGTAAGTGTTTAGGCCCCATCCATTCATTAAGCAGGACAGTTTAGGTGGGGCATCAACAATATCTAAAGTGGTTCAATCATTTTCTAATATTTTAAAATATAAAAATTAATAACCAGTTATATATAATTTTCCTTTTCATTTTTAATTAAATTTTTTTAAACTGGATCATTGCAAAATCATTGACAAAAATCGTATTGCATAATAAACGGATGCCGCCAAGTTTTCGGTTAAACAAAACAAAATATGTTCCCACTAACGAACATTATAACATGACTAACACTACCCATCTCATAGACATGTCATTATAATTCAGACTTTCAATTCCTAATATTAATATGCCCGTAGCACAGTCTATATAAGCTCAACTACACTCTCTTGTAAAAAGCCCATGAACGGAGCTTTGTCAAATGCGTCAACTTATTAAAAATAAATAGATAATTTTGATTACTTACTTATTTTATTTCTATTAATGATTAATATGAAATAAACTAAATAATAACATTAAAAATAATTCTTAATGAACACGTGGCAACGACAAATATCTAGATAAAACCTGCGATTAACGCAATTTCAAAGACATCAGCCCACTGTAAGTATTTACTCTATGCCCTTATTTAGTTTCAAATCTAACGCTTCCAACTAAATTACTCTACAACGTTCATATAAAACAATGACATGTCTACAAAATTTCAACTGTGCTGTATCAAAATTTATACCAATATTTTTTCTTTTTCACACTTGCTCCCCAACAATTTCTTCGCTTTAGTCAAATCGTCCAAAAAGCACCTTCCTTTTTCAGTTCGCATTATCTGTTTCTTCGGTAACATATTTTTAGATAAGTGCGATATTAGTTTCTGCCAATCTTTGAGGAGGAAGAAAACGTTGCCATGTTTCGTTTCCATGGGTATCGCTCCGTTGGAATGTTCGAAGAATACATTTGATATGTCTTTTGGGTGACGTGATGCGCGGTATGCTCTCAGCATCGACAGTAGGAGGATATCAACGTCTTTGTGAGCACCTGAAACTGATTTTTAAATCAATTATTGCTTACATATTAATGTTGTGGGCAAATCGTTGGATTGGGCCGATCAAGATTTGCCGGGGCATATCAACGTGTCGTCATTCCTTGATTTGGCCGGGAAAATCACGATCGGCACGGTATTGCAGAACAACGAGAGCAACGTATTTGTCGATTTTTATTGTTTAAATAAATAATTATTATTTAAACTTAATTTTATTTGCTTACATACAGATATGGGCGGTAGGAGAAAATCCGGGTTGTTGCCCATCTCTGCTTACATAGTATTTTGGTCACCATACAAAATCGATATTGAACGATATGGCGGATGACAGATGGCCAAATCGAGAAATGGCGGCATATCGTGATATGCCCGGCCGGACAGATTTCGGGTGACAGTGCTTTGAGCTAGTTATTATCTAATTTTAAAATCTATCGCACTTCCACTTGACATTTGAAAGATATTCAAGAACTTCACGCTACAGCTGAAGATATTGTTTATTTGACTTTAATTGGATTTATCTAACCAAAGTGATGAACGCAAATATCTTTAAAAGTTGAGAAATGTTAAAGGAAATATACTTTCGACGGGTTCATCTAAGTTTTTATCATGTTTGCTGATCATTCAAATCATCAATGGTTCCAAAAGCAATTGCGACTTTAAACTTTACATAATTCCATAAATCGGTATCACGCTCGCTATACTTGTGAAACGAATTTTTGAAATTAGACAAATCAAAGATTCTCGGGATCACTAATCAAAGTTCTGGACGTCAGAGGGGTTATATCAAAGTTGTGAGTTGTCAACTTTTATCCTACTCAACAGCAGATAGGTTATCGTAATCCAGGCGGCGGCAGCTGCATAATCTATGAAAGTTTGACTACTATTTCTCATTATTATCAGCAATGCCATTAACTACCCTAATATATATTTAGCTTGACATACAATACACAGCTTAATCTTACGCGACACTATCTATATCTGAATTATACAAGCTGTTTTGCCGCGACTTCGCCCGCGTATGATGTAGCTTCCCGTAGGTAAAATAACTTTTAAAATCAGTTCAGTACTTTCGGAACCTTCTCGATGGAAACAAACAATGAAATATTTCCTCTTCATAATATTAATATACAACGTGTCCCAAAATTCAACGATAAGCGGGCGCCAAGAGGTACCCTTGCTCATGTGTACTTATGGAAAAATAAGAAAAAAATTATATCTAATCGTTTTTATTATAAAATTAAATTCGACAATCTTCGAAAATTTACACCTTTTATGATATTTTCAACTACCACGACCACAACTTCTCAATTATGTTCAATCTTTTTTTGGTATCGGATACCTAAGTAGCACTACTATTCGCTACAACTCTTTCGAAGATTTTCGAATTTTATTTTATAATAAAAAAGATTAATAAGATATAATTTTTTTCTTATTTTTCCATAAGTACACATGAGCAGGTCTACCTCTTGGCGCCCGCTTATCGTTGAATTTTGGGACACGTTGTATACATATCGACGCAGGAAAGCAAACACGTAGTAACCCGCAAAACCAAAATTGTTCTTCAGAGCAGAAAAGCTTTTATTTTCTTAGATAAATAATTTCTATAAACGTCCATGGTAATAAATAAGGCGTTCCTTAGTCAACTTATACTAAAATAAGATATTTATTTTGTTTAAAATAAATTATTTTTTAAATATTCTAACTTTAAATATTCATTTTGGTTTGGCAGGTTACTACGTGTTTGTTTTCAAGCGTCGATAGGTATGTATGTACTCGGCATTTTAAGTATGATACCATTGAATACCAAATTTATTTAAATTATAGCGATTTGTTTACCACAAAGTAAACAATTCGCTCGCTACCGATAAATTGTATTAAAACCGAGAAAGGTGAACAACTGAAATTTACGCAATAGCAAATAATATATGCAGTTCTTCTTTAAAAAAAAATATTCGGTGTCATTTTGTTTCATTAAGCTAATCTAAAAAGCGGAGCTGTTACCTCGTACAGTACTGTCAACAGCACTTAATTAACATTAAGGCATGGGAAGTGACTTAAATATGATGACTGTTTTTTTATGGCCGATTGTTTTCTTTAATGCGTAATCAATAAATTAATCCGATATAGAGTTAAAATGTCAAATGACGTCACACTTTTGTTCCCACTCCTCAACATTAATATGAGTTATCTAAGCTATTTCTACTTAAATTGAAGCAAAAAGAAATCTGACTGACACACAATCAACATCTTAGTCTTATGTAAACACGGAACCTGTAAAGGGTTCGAAACGTCTAAAACTAAATACAAGCGAAGAAACCGTTAAAAAGTTGTTTCATTTATAAACACATTTTTTTTACCCCGGCATCCCTATTACTATTTATCCCCATCCATCAGCCCTTTTACGTCCCCACTACAGGGGCTGAGGCCTTCCTTATGGATGGTTGAGGAGGATGGGCCATGACCCTCCACGCTGGCCCAATGCGGATTGGAGGGTAACTATTACTATTTAGTTTTCGGAAATTCAGAATAGGCCTCCTGTCGTGATTTACGGAATTAGCAGACATTAAAACTCACCAATAGGTTTCTCGTATATGCTCTTGTAAAGGTTCGATTCGTCCCCAGGCCCCACGATGTAGAGGACATGCGTGGCCGCCTTCAGGGCGTCCTCTGCCCATATGTATGGGTCCCCGTGCGGGGTGCAACATATATCGGCTTCGTGCATCACATCGAACCCGTACTCGGAACGGAGGTAGTTTACGAATGACGACACGCACTCGGCGTGAAGCCTACTCGTCGGTGAATATATCACTAGCACTTTAGTTGGCGCGGGTATGTCTTGAACTGTAAACGTTTTTAATAGGGTAGTTAAATATAAGTAAAAATTTACATTGTAATAAACGTAAGAGATTTTGAGTCGTAAGAAAATCGCGTGATTTCGTTATCGACCGTTAGATGGCACTGTTCTTGTTTTACTGACTTTTGTGCATCTGTTTCGTGTACATAACCGAATGACGTCATGATTATGTCGGAGAGCGTTTTCGCGGGTATAAAAAAAAATTTAAATTTTGATTTAATTTTAAAATAAGAAAATGCGTTTATATTTCCGTAATATTGACTTTAAAATAAAATAAACACTTACAAGTACTTATTTATACAGAGGAAGTATTAAAAAAAAATTTGTTCCCGAAATCAAACTATATAGATGTCGCTGAGGTACTTTCTTGATTTTAACATGACATCCTTCCGGTTTTCTTTAATGTATAAAAGTAAATTAATTTTCAAAACCCAATAAACAACTCATATTCTATTTGTACTTTTTCGTATTTGTATTGATATCTAAGTTTCAAACTTTGCGAATTCCAGTTTTATAATATGCAAGTTAAAAGGAACGGAAACGACCGTCTTTGGTCCATTCGGTTCCCGCAAAAATCAACTTTTGCTAGAGTCGCCATCTAGTGGAGGTAGTTTTATAGTGCTTTCTTTTTTTTTAACTACTTCCTCATTCTACAAATGTTTACGTTATATACGCATCTCAATAGAATCTGAACTACTTCGATTTTGCCATTGTACTATCTACCTGAAGTCCAATACCCATCTTAGACTTATAATAATATACATATGACTTGATGCATTATAATTGGTGACTTTCATACGGGGTCGATTTTAAGGACGACCGATGTACACGTCATAAAAATCATGAAATAATATATTAATGCAACATTTATATTTTACAAGAGAATATAAATCCAAACAAAAATGAGCCTTAAAATAAAGTTGGAAGCATTGATTCATAATAAATTACCTTCAGCAAGAGCGTAGTCTTTGCACCAGTAACGTCGTATGAGACGTAACAGAACGTAGTAAGCGAATAGAGTGGCGACCACTAAAGCTGTCACGCTGGCGATGCATATGTTCCAATACTTGTGGACTTCATTGCCTAATAAAAAATAAAAAAAACATAATATCTATAACACTGAATCAGCAGCAGTGCTATTAATAAACAAGGATTAGTGTCAGAGTAAAATAACGCTAAAATTGCAATTTTAGTATTAGTCCGCATTCATATTATACAGAGAATAAGCAAACCTACTATTTTCTTCTAATATAAATATTACTCCCGTAGAACTTCGTACTGGGTTAACCTTTGCTAAGTCTCTGTTTAATAATGTTAATTTTGTATAATACTAAATGCAGTCTCAGCGTAAATTTACTTTAACGCTAAACCTTGTTTATTGATACTGTACGTGTCTCATCAAACGAGGGCAAGGGGTTTAAGGGCACCACTTGCTGATAAACTTCCAGTAAATTATCTAACATATTATGCTATCTGACAATTAAGTCACTGATATTATCCGTCAAATAATTATATCCGAGAATAATGAAACTAAAATTTGCAGTTTATCTGGCAGTTAAGTTTCCGTTAGGCTACCAGGGACTTTATCAGCAAGTGGTGAAACTGGCCCTAAATCATTGCCCGCCTAAAGCAAATAGAAATGACAGAGGAAAAAGTCAAATTGAAACGTGTTGAATTATTTTGGTCGGATAATAGTTTGTATTTTGTACAAATTAATCCTTGTTTTAGAATAAAACTGTGCATGTTTAGGAATTTAACGTGAATATTTTGGACAGTGTCTACTACACTATAATGTGTATGACGGTAAAACACATATTTTCGAGTAAGGCCGAGCGCACATTGGAGTCGCGGCCCGCGATCGTTGTTGTTAAGCAACTTTCGCAAGGGTTGGTCACAGGATGGGTAACCGAAAAGTGTGCTACTTCGTGCATCGGAAGGCACGTTGAGCCATTGGTCTCGGCTGCATTTGCAACTAAATATGTTTTTAAAGTATATAGTACTTGCAATATACTAGAGACTATTTTTAATTTCCAAGATTTTGAAAAAATCGTCGTCATTCATTATCAGCCCTTTTACGTTCCCACTGCAGGGGCTCAGGTTTTTCTTATGGATGGTTAAGGAGGATGGGCCATAACCCTCCACGCTGGCCCAATGCAGATTGGAGGGTATTACCGACCGCAAATATAGCCGGGACCAACGGTTTAACCGCACGGAGTAGCTCGAGATAATATTTTTTTGGTCACCCATCCCGTGACCGACCCTTGTGAAAGTTGCTTAACAACAACGATCGCGGGCCGCGGCGCTTATCCTCCACGCCACCGAGCTACGTCGAAAAAATGCATAATATTATATGTTTCTAAATATATAAATATACTATATGTAAGTACAATAGTAGACTACGATAATCTCAGTCAAAATAATAAGGAAAATTATATAAAATAATAGATATCAATAATACATAACAAGGAAATTATTATCCAAATATGCATAATACAGATCACTCATTCAATAAGACTGTAGTGACGCAGTCAACAAGCGCCGCGACCCGCGATGGTTGTTGTTAAGTAACTTTCGCAAGGGTCGGTCACGGGATGGGTGACCGAAAAGTGTGCTACTACGTGCTTGTGCACGTTGAGCAATTGGTCCCGGCTGCATTTGCAGTCGTTAATATCCTCCAATCCACATTAGGCCTGAGCCCCTGCAGTGGGGACGTAAAAGTGCTATACCACACTGATGTCAATAGGACCTTATTATCTTTTTCGCAAATTTATTGTGATAAGCAACATCACTTTACACATTTTTTTTCTCCAACCGACGCTTAAAAAGTTAGAAAAGAGATATAATACTCATAACTGATTTTTGCATTCAACATGTTAATTGATATTTTATCTTTAATAAAAAAAATGCTTAAGGAAATCACAAGTTTCAATCTTAAAAATATGTACTTTATATTAAAATTAAACCTTATTTCAAGTATTTTCTTTTCTAGCACATATTTTAAAAAGTTTTGTTGATACTAAAACAGCTATGAAATACAAATTTACAGTAATTAATTTTTCTTTAGATACATAAAAGTAAAGTTGAACTTACTTATTGAAATCTTAGGGCTGACAACTACTTGACATTTATTTTCGTTATTTGAACACTGCTCATGCGTCGGCGTCACCACAAAATAGAACAATCCAGAACTTCCCAAATAATAGAAGTCACTAGTGATTTCTTGGGTGTAATTCTTCATCAATACACTGGATCTTTTAACCAGCTCGTCATGACAGTCTGTAACTCCTTTGGCACAACCTTTTCTTATTTCAATTTTGTAACCGGATATCTTGAGTTGTACAGGCGGTGGCATAATATGTAACCGTAAGACACTTGGCAATGTTTCTATGTAGAGGAATGGTTTCCATTCATTCTCTGTTACATTTGGACCTGAAAATTACAATTTAATATTAATGTTGACTCAAAAGTTTATTTATATAAGTCAATGAGACAGGATTACGTTCGAAAGAAAGTCAGCAATGCCCGCCATTTCAAGTGAAGCAATATTATAACTTAGAAATCTGGAATCTATTGTGATTATATGAGGGTACATGTAATATGCAAGTCTAAATTATGATTTTTCTTAATGTAATAACTGTTGTCATAATTATTTTGATTATATTTTCTTTTTCTAAATTTCTCAATAATTTATGCTAAATTTTTGATTTCATTTTCTATTATCATTGAATTTGTTTATTTTAAAGTTTATTTATTATTCATTCATTGTTATATTTACTGTTAATACATGTACATATATTTAAGTGTCGTGTGCCGCAGTTATAGGAAGGCAAATAAGCAATAAATTATTTAATTATGCCTAATTGTAAGCATGTGATCTTGATTTGTTTTCTGTTGCTGTACCAAAATAAAATAAATAAATACTTTGATGTGGTTATTGTATAAACAGTCAGTCTCAATCAAAAGTGAGTTTCATTATAACAATATCCTTTGGAGACAACTTGATCAATATAATTTTAAATAAATCTTCACAGATTTATGTCTGCTACTAGTAATATAATTTACATTATGGTGTTGCATGTTAAAACACGTCCCATTGTAGTATATTATAAATGATTATTTACAAAATATGAAACATGCCAAAAAACTTACTCAACATTTGCACAGTAGGAATGTTGAAGTAATATTGACCCCTATTCTCTTCAGTGCCATCATTAGCAATAAAGTCCAGAATATGACTGGTATTGTTATAATCTCCATCGGTGAACGACCAGTAGCAATCGTAATATAAAATGGATTGATCATCAATTGGAAAATCATTTGATAGGATGATGTTGCGACAATGGTTTGATTGATAATTTGTTGGTTGGAAACGAAATTTCATAGCTGTAACAAACAGAATAAAATTATAAAGTCTAACAAAAAAATTTAGTCTATAATAAATTATGATTTTATCCCCTTGGATTAAAACCCTGGTGGGTCACTGTTTGTTGGCTTATTCTATTATACATTTTACTGACATAAACATACCGCGAATTGCAAAAATAATATGTAAAAAATAATCTAAAACTTCAAAAAAGTTTAAAATTGTTTTTTTTTGTTTGGTTAGAAAAATATATATTTTCCAGAACATGGCCCAATGCATTAAAATGTCAAGACAACAATGTCCAGCAAATTAAAGCTTCATTGGTGTGGAAATATTAAATATTATTTCTACAAAAATTATGTACCATTGTTATAAACCTAATAAATTAGTACAGAATATAAACAGCATTGGCACAAACCTTCGTGGTTTACAAATGCTGTTAAAACCTAAAATTGTAACTATGTTTAATTCTGTAATGTAAATAAAAAAGATTTAATATAAGTTTTGAAAAAAAAAACAAATGTAATAGTTACTATGCCTAACATAATCAAGAGATCAAGTCACACAACATGCAGTATCCGATCAATCAAAAAAACAAAATAGCATGTCAAATCTAATGTTCAACTGTTCCAAATTAATCTTTTATTGAGTAACAACATTTGCCAAGCAATAAGTTGACTGTAGCCCTTAAGACACCTTTTTTTTTTATTTATACAAAATTTCAAAATTTCTAGTTACTTCAAAATTAATGACAAATATTATTTCATTTTAAAATACTTTACATGAATTGAACACTCACTACAATTCTACCTTGGTAATTTAGTTATATTTTTCTGTAATATCAAGTTCATGCAGTATCTTCCATATTAGAGGCAGAAAATAAACATAATGTGCGTTGTAATAACAAAGCAACGCTTTTAAGGTTACATAATCTGTCATTATTCTAACAATATGTTTATGAAAGTCATGAATATACTTACTCTTCCATTTAATATTCGTAAATGTAATGTTAAGAACTGTGAAATTGGTAGAGCTGAGGCCTTCATCTAGAAGGTATGGTTTCAAACTCACACCTCCAATATGTGTATTCGTTTGGAATGGTCCAAAATCCATGTACTTGCATTTTGGACTATCCGGTGCGTAGTGTTCCACTGTGCAGACATTGGACTCGATGGGCTGCTGTCCTGACAACTGTTTAATGTTTATAATGTGATTAGTAAAAAAGAATCTATGTTCAATTCTTTTGCATAGTTTTAAGTTCTATTGTGCAACATAATGTATGTGCTCTTTTTTATTGAAATTTATTCTTGTGTTGCCACCAAGATAATAAAAATATAAAACAACATTGATGCTCTTGCTGCACAATAGGAACAATCATAGAAATAGAGATGATGATTAATTTTAGTTTGTTTGTCCGTCGTCCGAGTTTTCAAAAATATTAAACACGTATTTTTTCGTAATCATAAAATTACGGCGTTACATTGAGTTGAAATTTCGCATGATGTCACGTTAGAGTACGTTTTCTACTCAACTGTGACGTAGCGAGCCCCCACTCCTCAACTTTAATGCCTGTTATCTAAACTATTTCTTGTTAAATTGAAGTAAAAAAAAAATATGTATCTAATATTTTTCTTTTATCTGACTGACGGACTAAATAGAATTGCATTTTTTTTATCCAGTTATTTTAGTTAACAATGATCAGTAAATAAAATCTGTAATGTAAAAAGTACTATAATAGATAAATTGAGTACACAACTATAAATTTTTAAATAGCACAAGCGGGAGTCTAACCCAGGACTTAGAGATTGTTACACCTTGAAACTGACATGTAAGTCATTGAACCATGGACATTATCATATCTAGTGTTTTGTTACAAACATGCTTACTTTTAAATATATGTCAAGATAGAATGGTGGTGAAAAGCTATATGGTTCATTTTAAAATAATTAATAATTAATAACACCATTTTATCAGTTGTAAGTCTCTTCTACACATTATATGGTTCAAGTTTTAATTTAACAAAGTAAAGAAAGGGGTAAAATGTGTACAAATTTGTGATTTTGGAGCTTATTAATATAAAAAGGTCAAACATTTTATATTTTGAGGAATTTTGATATATGATGATCTAATAAGCACATGGAAATTCAATAAAGAAAGAAAGAGAGAAAATTATTATTCATTTAAACTAACAAAAACAAATCACAAAATGAACATATTTTCACCATGACTATAAAAATAAATATCTAAGTATTAATTATCCATCAAGCATTACAAGATATTGTCATTATTTTTAATAGTGGAAAGATAATTTATTAGGTTGGATGTTTTTTTTTTTCCCACAAAAGGAAATTAACAATATTCTGACAGTATATAATTTATTAATAAAACTGAGTATTTGTCAAAAAAAAAAATATCTGGAGGCATGGAAGTGCTCCTGCCAAGTCAAGCAAAAGAGTAAAAAGGCCACAGCCATACCATACTTTTCTCACGACTTTTTGACTCCCATAACTTCTGTTTTTTTTTTAATATGGACTTGTTCCATTATACACAGAAATTTTGCCAATATCCTGTAGTGAAAGAGACACGTAACTCAAGAGACTGAACGGTAATTATAATTAACCAATTCTTCATTGAGATCATTCTTTCTCTACTAAAAAAATTGTTATGGATTAAATAAGAAGACTAAATTTTCATGACCAAGAGGGCATCAGGGCATCACATTATGAGGCACATTACGATATCACATTAAACAAGTACTTTAAGAATTATTGCAATTCAAAATTAAGAAAATTTTTATATTATTGAAATTAATAAAACTGTAAAGCATTTTGAAAACATCCATCAATGTGTTGCTTAGTAACACAAACCAAAGAAAATTTTAACACTACATAATAAAAACATTTACAAAAGGGTAAAAATACATACATAAAATCTATGATAAGGAAATTATTACCATAGAAAAAACTTCAGAAAAGCTATTTACATTTGGACATAATTATGCATACCATAGATATATAAATCTATTTATGTGGCATACAGAGTGGACCAACAACCAACTAATGGCCACAAACAGAATCAAATGGGTTTTGTTGATATATCCATAAGTGACCATAGGTAAAATAATCATTACATAAGAGACAAGGGCTAAGTTGATTCTTTATCATTTACAGTAATTAGCGCTCTAGATATAATACTCGAAAATGAAAGAGAAGAACCTACAAAAAGAAATGAGATCCCATCAAAAACATAACATACTACAATGTATAAGTCTCACAATGCAATTCTGCTACCCTAAAAAGTTATGAAATCAACGTAAACCAAGTTGTTTAATACAGATCCAATCCTACTGTGAGAGCAGCTATCCAACCTTGTCATAGATTTAGAAATACTTGGCAAACTAGGTATGGTAAAAATGTTACATAAAAAAATCTATCTAGTTATTAGCTATGTGATTTATTGGTTTAAAAGTAATTAGGTGACTATTAGGCGTGTGCGTTTTGATTATTCTTAAATATATAACAAGGTTGGATAGCAGCTCTCTCAGAAAAATTAGGTACTCAATTAATCAACTTGGTTTACGTTGATAACTTTTTACAGCAGAAGAATTGCGTTGTGAGAATTGTGCTTTTTCGTACATGTTATGTGTTTGATGGGTTTCATTTTTCACCTTCAAACTAAAAATCAATACATGTATGTAGTGTAAATAATGTTATTTAAAGATTAATAGATCTCACCTGGCTATTGCAACTTATACTTTTCCGATCATTCTCTTTACAAAATTTTGAATATTTGTTTTGATGTGCGGCGGCATAGCGACATAAAAAAATTAATAGAAAGTAACAAAAAATAAAACGCATCATTTTAGTGCACTGCTTTGATGGATTAAGGAACCGTAAAATCAAACAAAAACATATCTAATAGATTACTAAAAAACCATTTTGTCTCAGATGTTTTGTTTCATTCGAAAACCTAAACTCTTTTAGAAGGAAAAAATCACATAAAAACTTTCGTCCCAATCGCAACGCAACAGACAGAAGAAAACACACCAAAACCAAACCCAAACAAAACAATATGGCTGCAACCACAGACTTAGTAGGTATCAGACATAGAGTAAGGTAGAGTGGAAATATTTTCTATGGTTATATAAATATCATGCAATCTGAAGTTGACATCAAAAACATCATGTTGTCTTTTTTTAACTAATAAGAAGTTTCTTTAGTAAACAAAGATAACACTAGTGTGACAGTTCAAAATTTTTTACGTGACGTCATGAGATATAGCTATCGTACCACCTGTCAGCCATTTGCAAATTTGCTTTGCGTATTCTCGGAAGTAGTTCAGCTGTCAGTGTTATAAATTTTGTGGTTATTTTCATTTATAACTTTAATTTATATAACTTTCATGGCAGAAAATTGTAAATTATTTATGCAAAACAATGCCTAGGTGCTGTATAATTGGTTGTGCGTCATCAATATCCCGCAAACCGAGCAATATTACGTTTCACCGGTAAGTTAAACACTTTCTTGGAATAACAGTATTTAAAACGTAAGTAAGTTATTCTGAAAATGATTGCGTGTATAAATCGATACATATCGTATTTTGGCGTGTTCTATTTATGCTATATTGCTCTTTTCGTTTATATTTTTATAATATTTCGGTCCGTAAATAATATTGTTTACATGGCTAGTGTCGTTACTTTAACATATGGTTTATATCGATAATTTTAATATTTAAAAATATATTAATTATTTTAGATTACCAAAAGATGAAACAAAAGAGGAAAATGGCCGAGTTACATAGAAGCAGAAAATATTAAATGTAATGAAAAAGTTACTTTTATCTGCTCACTTCATTTTAGGGAAAGTTGTTTGAATCGAACTTTAAATATAATAAAATTACGAGATGATGCATTGCCAATCAAATACTCTGGTAAGAATTTTTGACAATTGCTTTTAACTTATTTAAAAAAATGTCTATTTCACTTAGTTAATTTTCATTTGATTTCACTGATTTATTTAGTTTTTTATATAGTCATTTTGTTATTCTATAAATGTACCTTATTTTTAGTCTTGCGGTCATATGACGACTATTTTAATTGAAAAAAATCAGAATGCAATATATAATAATATTAAAATATAAAATTCTGATCATAATATACTCCCAGTAAAATATACAATAAAATGAGTTAAATAATTTTAATAAAAATTAAAATATGCACACTTATCAAATTAAAGGCATAGTTAAAGGTTTTCTTTGCTGTTCAATAGTATAATCTTAATACCCAAATAATTATTTTGCGGCGTGGATGTTTATTTTGCTGATGCATCATAAAATACGCTACCTTTTTGAATTTAAATTGCTGACCGTTATCATGATTGTTCACAGAACATGAATTGCAGACTGTTTTAGTGCTGAGAAAATATTTGTATGCTTGCCTATTGATTAATCGGCTGTTTTCTTCTTGCTAACCAAATTTTTAAATAAAATGCCAATTGTTACTTCTTTAATAATGTTACTGTTATGCCAATTGTTACTTATTCATCACCAACTTTGTTTTCTTTATTTTCTCTTGTTTATTCATCAAAGTTTACAGTATTTTTATGTTCTTTTACCAATAATATAATACAAAGATTATGTAGGTGTTTCAAGTTTTCTATGTTTACTACTAAACAAGATGTTCTGAACTAAAATTGTGACACAGTACGCACGGTATCTCACTTAATGAGGAGGAAGCGAAATTTATTCAGTCAAAACAATTTATTGAATAAATTTATAGACAAGTTGGCTTACTGGTTACAAGCATATAAGAAAGTCGAAACTCTGTGCTTATAGTTCAGCAATCTATTACGGGAAACCTTGTACCGAGAAAAGAAGAAACTGTAAGAAAGGAACCGGTAAGAAACTGCAAGGGCTGCTTTTGCACCCTGTTTAATTTCGTACTGAAAAATAAAAAATGACTTCATTGGACCAAAATATCACTTTCCACCAAAACAATAAAAAATATATAACAGACAAAAAAAAGCATAATAATTCATTCGTCAATCGACTCATTAAAAGCTTATTATAGTTACCGTGGTAGTTATCTTGGACAGTAGTCACACTTCCCGTGGATGCAAAATTAAACTTATGTTAAAAAAACTATTTAATTATAATTGTAAAATGTCAACTTGACAATATATATGAAAATAATTATAAAACACGATTGATATTATTGTAAAACTTTTAAGATATATATTTTGGTACTATAGTTCTTAAAACTATGTAAAATTGGCTATATTAGAGGAAAAAGAAACATATTTATCGAGGTACAATCATATTATAAAATTATATTATTAAATTAAATTAAATAATATAAATGTGAAAGTTTGTAAGGATGGATGTTGGTTACTCTCATGTAAAAACTACTGAACGGATTTTGATAAAATTTGGAATACGAATAATCTTTTACCCGTGGGAAGCGCCATCATACGCTGTAGCGCTACCATGAGTTGCTATCGTAAATTCTCATTACTTTACCGCAGTCGATAGCGAATAAACGCACTTCGAATAGTATTCGATAGAAGTTGTACCATGAGTCACATTTACATTTACTATACTCGCTAACGTTAACTCGAACATTCGAATAGTTTTTGTTACGTGACCATGTATTGCGCCTAACTTCACTCCAAATGAAATTGTCTCGTTCTATTTATGCTGAATAGAGTGAGAAAGGATGACTTTGGGCAAAAAAACTGGCTATTTAGATCTTCAAATTTAAATGTAGATAAAACCCTACTAATTTTAAGCGTCATTGATCAGTCTCATAACGTGAAGTGTAACTGATTATTGAATTTATTCGGTTATTTCCGTGTTGAGACAAATCATTGTGTATTTCTGTTTCTTAACTGGCGGTTGTTTTGGTAAATTGTGTATAATACCTAAACATTAAATGCGGACTAGTGTATCACAAATACAGTTATTGGTTGAGTATATGGAAAGGAATGAACTTCAATACGTTTCTATTATATTATTTAATACGTAGGATATACTTTGTACAGTAAAATGTAGTCCTCCAGTTTTTTAGATGAAATATTTGTTTAAGTGTTGTTTAAGTTTAAGTCTTTATTTGGTTAAGGTAAATTTAACGCGGGACTTTAATAATATAATACATTGTTTTTTGTTATTTATCAAACATAAAACTTTTAAAATAGACGCAGTTTATGAAATTTTTTAAATATAGTAAGAATATACAACCTAATCCAATGCTATCAGATCTAACCCGGTTACATTCATTTATTTATTTTCGTTGTTATCCATATCACGTATCCCTTTTTAATGTTTTAACAGAAATGGTGACCTTAGTAAACCCACTGAAGGACCACACGGAAGAGTCGCCAATGTTCAAAACACTCCTTATTAAGCCATAAGCCGCTTCAAATTTTCTCTGTTCTCGTCGTTTGTCTTCATATGCAGCTTATGATAACATATTCCACGCAAGATAATGCCTAGTACATATTATTTGGGTCAATAATAACTGAAAATAATCTATTAAACAATACTTTAAAAAGAGTAATAAGTTTTCACGCTACCTTTTGCAAGTGAGAGAGTTAACTACAGTCGCTACGGTATTTCTCGATGACGTTTATCAAATTTGTAACTCATGGTACCGATGTTCTATGGGATAAGCTACGAAACGTAAAAAACGTTAGTCGCTAGCGATTGGCTTTCGATAGGTAAATTTACTATAGGACTCATACTAGCAATCTTTAGTTTCCCAAGTGACCGCTAGGAGCGCTGTATAGTTCTCCATACAAATCATTTACGCAGTCGCTAGCGAGTACGGTCATTGTAAACTCATGGTAACGCTACTGGTAACATATGTTATATTTACTATAGTGACGCAACGGAGTCGCAAGAACAAAGAACGCAAGAAATTTTAGATGTCCAACAAAATACGAGCAAAAGATTACTTAATGATTTATAAATAATTGATAAATTCACGCCACTTTTAAAAAAATAGTATTTTCTTGATACTGGCGTGAATTTTTCAATTTAATTAATAATAATCACAAATAGGATTGGTACGTAAGTGTGAAATGAATAGAAGTGTAATAGGTAATAGTTTAGCCATGCCCCTAACAATGAAAATTATATTATATTATTTAATAAGTAGTAGTATTGTAGCAGTTTCACGAAATACTAACTTTTATTTAATATGACTTCAATGTCGATACAAATATCGATATCTTGGGTCACGCCCTATGACAATCCGCCATCGAAGAATTTGCATTTGAAGTTTAGGCATATACGCTTTTTTCGTAGGTATGGCCGGTCCTCTTCTTTTATGTCTATGGTATCAGGCGGGAAACTTTCGAAATAGTAGGGCGCTTCTTTCGAAATCTTTAAATATTTTTTGTAAATTCTTCAATAAATAGTGTAAATTTTTAGTAGATTTTTAAGTATAAATATTATTTATAAGCAGTCGTTGTATATTTATAGTTAGACATTAAATTGAAATGACAAAAAAGCGGAAAAAACCAAAGAAAGATGAAGGAGAGAGCTGCTCGGGTGAGATCTTTCCAGATAATATTTCAGAGAGTAGCAACTCTAGTTATTCCGACACATTCAGTGCAAATATTGCAAATGATGAAAAGGAAAAATATGTTCCATATAGGGTTTCTGATTACAGTAGAAGGTATCCTGAAGATGCTGCGACTGGTTTCGAATTTGTAGTCTTTATTGAAAGTTCTATTGAACAGCCTCTCGGTAGCAGGGACATGATGTACCTGAGTGGTTGTCTATCTAGATTTGTAAAGGGCATAAAATACTTAAAAAAAATCAATCGTTTTAAAATTGGCGTAGTTTTTGATCGACCAAATTTAGCAAATGCATTTATGGATAATTCCACATTTTTGAGGGAACAGTCCATCAAAGCTTCAATTCCTGCAGGATGTACCGAATTATCTGGAGTTATTACATCCGTACCCATAGATATGTCCAATAAAAAAATTTATAAAGCATTGTCCAGCTCAAAGAAAATTATTTGTGTCA